TTCAAGGATCCAACCTATTACTCTATATAGGATATCTACTTCAGGAGCTTTACGACCAGATGGGCGCTAAAGCTTGAGGGAGCTTTACAACAAGATGAGCGCGACTACGTGAGTGCAGAATTTTGTTGGGTGAAACTTGGGGCTGGTATGTTGAATGTGAGTGAAAGTTGAAGGTGAAGAATTGTGAGAGGTAGCAAATAACAGGGTGGAGAACATGTCCCCCACAGCGCTCTGAGTGGAGCTTCTGGTTATGTTGTCGCTATAGACTTTGAAAGCACATGACGGCTAGTTGGCGACCAGGCGTGCAAGTGGCACCGAATTACACACACAGATCACAATAGCGTGATGCATCAAATGAACAAATCCACAAGGGCCGTGACGAGGATTTAAGGCAGCGTCTGGGATGCTCCCGGACGTAGGTTCGAATCCTCGTCACGGCCCTTGTGGATTTGGCACGGAATGTTTGTGAGCGTGTCTGCGGGCGTGGCTGTCTGTGGGTATGGCCACATGCGGATGTGAATGTAGTTGACTGTGGTGGTGCGACTAACTGTATCAAGCAGAAACCCTGATAATCCTCCCCCCACTCCCACAGTACCACACACAACACATGGGACTCCCACAGCACCACACACAACACATGGGACTCCCACAGTACCACACACAACACATGGGACTCCCACAGTACCACACACAACACATGGGACTCCCACAGTACCACACACAACACATGGGACTCCCACAGTACCACACACAACACATGGGACTCCCACAGTACCACACACAACACATGGGACTCCCACAGTACCACACACAACACATGGGACCCCCACAGTACCACACACAACACATGGGACCCCCACAGTACCACACACAACACATGGGACCCCCACAGTACCACACACAACACATGGGACCCCCACAGTACCACACACAACACATGGGACCCCCACAGTACCACACACAACACATGGGACCCCCACAGTACCACACACAACACATGGGACCCCCACAGTACCACACACAACACATGGGACCCCCACAGTACCACACACAACACATGGGACTCCCACAGTACCACACACAACACATGGGACTCCCAGAGTACCACACACAACACCTGGGACTCCCAGAGTACCACACACAACACATGGGACTCCCACAGTACCACACACAACACATGGGACTCCCACAGTACCACACACAACACATGGGACTCCCAGAGTACCACACACAACACGTGGGACTCCCAGAGTACCACACACAACACATGGGACTCCCAGAGTACCTACTCATCTGCATGAGGCCACTTTTCCCGTCTGGATTGCTGGCGGTTGGAGTCTATTGGTATTATCTCAGCAGTTGTGTTCTCGATATAAGCAAACAAATTGTTCTTGTGTTTTAGATATGAGTTCTGTTCTATCAGTTTATATCTGAATTAACAGACTTCCTAGAGAAGAACGTCCATAATTAAGATGGGGGAGCTTAGCGTGCAGTTGTTGTGGTAGGGAAGCTGAGCATAACACCAGGACTCAAGGGGTGGAGGAGGAGGCTGATGGTATAGCTGGGAGAAAGTAGCGGTCAATATTGACTGTGTCCACACAACAGTTTGCTCCTCGGTTTCCTCACTGGAAGTGCCCACACTACCAGTGTTGTGCTTCACTCTTGCCTGCCTTCCCTCCCGTCAGTGGTCACCCAGAGGCGACTAACGCTTAAGCAGTCAAATGTGGCTACTTTCACCATCCATCCCACCCTCAAAGAATTGGCGTCTTGCAAGTCAAAAGGCGGGGCCGGTTCCGAAGGCTTAGTTGTACCTCTTCAGTTCTATGTAATTTTTGCTGGAGTGTATTGTAGCATATGTGCGTTTGTCAGAGTGAAGGTGTCCAGCAGCAAGAGTGGCAGGGAATGATGCCTCGGGTTAATATGACAGGGATGCTGACTAACTCGCACTATCGTTTACTCTGCTCTGCATCACCAACGCCTTAACACACATTTCCATCTTTGTTCTTGTGGTGCTTCAGCGTGGAGGGACGACATTGACCTCGTGTCATGAACATGTTCACGATGACGGGATGATGTTCCCAAACGCAGAGAGAAGAACAAGTCTCTCGTGACTTGCTCCACTGTACCGATAAGAAATAAGACTTAGGGTTAATTATGTTTTATGAAGTATTCTTAGCTATGTACCCTAAGTTCGCCATGTGTATGTAGGTAGTGGTTGCAAGTGACTTAACCTTTCTGCCGTCGCCGTCTGGGGGCAGTTGGGGAGATATGAAAGCTGTACGTATCTAGTTCACCCAAATGTAAACTGCATAGCTTAAATAAAGATCATTGGGTTCAGATCCTGAACTATTATATGACTAAAACTTGCATCTATACCCCCACCACCCTCCCCACTGTCACTCTTTTGCCTGCAATATTAAGTTATAAGAATAATCTTTCTCATTGACGTAAAATCTGCAAGCTTCTGAGGGCGACTTTTCCTGCTGCACATAACTCATCACTCACGCTGCTTCTTTCCTCACACACAGTTCCGTTAGCATAATTTTTGGGAGGCTTATTGTTAATATGGGTTAATGTTGCTGACATTGCCATATCAACCGTAATGCACTAAGGTGGCGCCGTAGATACTCATTCCTAGCTTACTAACTCGGTTACTCAAGAGGTCACCTACCGCTGCTTCTCCTGTCTAATCGCACTGATTTATATTCAGTCCACATCCTGACTCCCAAGGTGACCTAGACTGAGAGCTCTCACTACAGGTCGACTTTTCACCAGAAATATTAATAGTGGCCTCCCTCCCTGGATGAACTCCGAGAAGGAAGTCAACTCTATTGTCTGATGAAGGCGAATTGAGTCAAAAACGCTTTTAGCATGTCTATTTTTCACATAGTTTTTCCGCATACACTGTACTTGAAGCATACACTGTACTTGAAGCATACACTGTACTTGAAGCATACACTGTACTTGAAGCATACACTGTACTTGAAGCATACACTGTACTTGAAGCATACACTGTACTTGAAGCATACACTGTACTTGAAGCATACACTGTACTTGAAGCATACACTGTACTTGAAGCATACACTGTACTTGAAGCATACACTGTACTTGAAGCATACACTGTACTTGAAGCATACACTGTACTTGAAGCATACACTGTACTTGAAACATACACTGTACTTGAAGCATACACTGTACTTGAAGCATACACTGTACTTGAAGCATACACTGTACTTGAAGCATACACTGTACTTGAAGCATACACTGTACTTGAAGCATACACTGTACTTGAAGCATACACTGTACTTGAAGCATACACTGTACTTGAAGCATACACTGTACTTGAAGCATACACTGTACTTGAAGCATACACTGTACTTGAAGCATACACTGTACTTGAAGCATACACTGTACTTGAAGCATACACTGTACTTGAAGCATACACTGTACTTGAAACATACACTGTACTTGAAGCATACACTGTACTTGAAGCATACACTGTACTTGAAGCATACACTGTACTTGAAGCATACACTGTACTTGAAGCATACACTGTACTTGAAGCATACACTGTACTTGAGTCAGTGTTCCCGAGTGAACACAACCTCCAATATATGAAGCCTTACGATTATCAGTGTGAGTGATTACTGTCGTATCTTTCACTGTCTTGACGATTCAGGCTGGTGTTGTGGTGTTGAGAATGATGGTGCGTAACACCTCCGACTTGCAAATGAAGTGTAAGACGTCAACTTAGTGTATTCGTGGCATGTCCAATGTAGCATATATTTGGGAGCGCACAGCCTCCAGAGCTGCATTTGTATTGATACAGTATATTGTTACACCTCAGTTTGTCAGAGGAGGCAGAGATGTTATTTCTCATAACGAGGGAAGATGTACAAGGGTTGTTAGAATAAATGACGGGACGAATCATTGCATTTTCACTGCAAGATTTGATATTCCTGTCAATTATGTCTTGTATCGCCTTCTCATCCTTCCTGTATTCCTGAGTGAATGTATTTTTATAATACACTACAATGTCTTCTCTTGAGGGACATTTTTCCACTCTTGGGGTCTGATTATCCTCAGTCACATGGCGGCTCAGCTTCTTAAGATTTCGTCGAATTCTGTATTGCTGTAATTGTTGTTCACAACAATTTGGCGGATTCGTTCAAGTTTTGGTGGAAGAGCTGCCAAGAAGAGCGTGAATGTATTGCACTAACTACATATTTTAAGCAGTCTCCGTGGTGTAGTGGTAAGACACTCGCCTGGCGTTCCGCGAGCGCTATGTCATGGGTTCGTATCCTGGCCGGGGAGGATTTACTGGGCACAATTCCTTAACTGTAGCCTCTGTTTAACGCAACAGTAAAATGTGTACTTGGATGAAAAAACGATTCTTCGCGGCAGGGGATCGTATTCCAGGGACCATAGGATTAAGGACTTGCCCGAAACGCTACGCGTACTAGTGGCTGTACAAGAATGTAACAACTCTTGTATATATCTCAAAAAAAAAAAAAAAATAAAATAAAATATGCCATATCACTAAACGGGTAATAAAAAAACACAGTTCAGTTTTTTTTCTCATTTCTCGACATAGAGAAATAAAGCAAATTTAATCTAAGCACTTTCGTGATTTAACACACGTGCAAAAAATATTAATTTATTTCCATCTGGATACTTACGCATATAATTCATAATAATAATGAATTCATTTTGTCGGGGACAGGCAGCCTGTTTGTTTGTATGTTTGACTTATTTCGAGGTTCCCCAATGGTCGAACTAATGACCCTCCCCAAGATGCAACTCCTCAACAGATGACTAACTTCTAGGTAAGTATTTATCTGTTAGGTGAACAGAAGTATTAGGTAAAAGGAAATGTGCAAGTTCTGTCCTGCTCAGGATTCCCAATTGAGAGTTGAGAATTAATTTAAACCATCTTGTTTTTTCAACCAATGCATGTCCTTTTCATATTGCAAACTAACCACAATGTTTTACTGTTACAGCTGGGCATGGTGTTGGTGACGTTCGGGGTGCTGGCTGTGGCCGATAAAGCTCCTTCAGGGCCCGAGTTGCACCACTTTGTCGGGCAAGGTGGCTATGACGGTTTCGGCCAGGATGTGGCCCCAGTGCCCGTATACGGTGGCCCATCACATGATATAGGGATCCAGCAGAGTGAAGGAGGGTACCCGCCCCCTGCATATCCCGCTCAGCAGACCTACCACCACACTGGCTACCAGACACAATATGTGGCCGTTCCCAGACCTTATCCCATAAGTGGTGGAGGCAAAGGCAAGGGCAAAGGAGGAGGTATTGGCAACCCCCTCAAGGAATTAGACAAGATGATAAAGGATGCTGGAAAGAAGTTATCTAAATTCAGTAAGTAACATTGGCATTTCTTTGATTTTATTTATAGTATTTTTTCAAGAGTTTCAGAAGAATAACAAAAATGTCTTTAAAGTTGCATCTTTGGTGTTGGCTGCAACTTGAATGAGCATAGCCCGAGGATGGGTTGCCCTCATACAGTACTGCAAAAACTATATAGTTTGTGTAACCAAAAAGTTTAAATGACAAATGGGTTGGGTTGGTCAAAGCTTCAATGCCTGAGGATAGCTTGATGTTCGAGCAATCCTAATAGTGTCTGCTGGGAGACATTAAAGGACAGACAGGAGTCTGGAGAAGCAAAATGAGTTCATGATTCCTGCAGGAGTTTTTAATAAATCATGTTATTAGGTACAAGAAGCCTGTGTGTGTGTATATAAATATCCAGTATGTATATGTATGTGTATATATGTATATATATGTTTCATTGAATATGACTGCATATTCTGCATTGATTATTTTCTTGTTTAGGGCTTCTATCCCTCTGACTAGTGTTCTAGCATCTTGGTTTAATTGGAAGAGGAGTTCTCCAAAGTTCTCCTCTTCCAATTAAACTAAGATGCTAGAACACTAGGGCTTCTATCCCTCTGACTAAACAAGAAAATAATCATTACAGAATATGCAGTCATATTCAATGAAAACCTGCTGCCAGTATACACACACACTATAATCTCGAGGTCCCCTAAGGTCGAACTACTGACTTTTCCAGGATGTAACTCTTCAATAGTTGCCAAACTTCTGGGTACCCATTTACTGCTAAGTGAACAAAGGCATTAGGTAAAAGGAAACGTGTCCCAGTATTTTTCCTTGTATTTAGGCTCGGTAATACAGTTGGGTTTGGTCTCGATTCTCAGTTGGGAATCCTGGATTTGAATCCCGGACAGGACAGAAATTATTGGGCATGTTTCCAATCACCTAATGCCTCTGTTAAGTCAGCTCTTGTGGGGCTGCATCCCAGGAAGGGTCAATAGTTTGACCATGGAGGACCTTGATATAAGCCAAATGTATATATATACACAGGCTATGCATCCCCAACAAAATGAATTCCAACATGCAGTATTACTAAACACTCGCCTTTAACATCAAAACACAGAGTGCATACAACATAAAACTTGCAGCAAAACCATTGACTTCACACTCTGATTACTCAACAAAAGATATAATGAATACAATAATTAGCTGGGAAACATTTTGAACTACTGGTGTAACATTTGGCTGGAAACACATTACCAAATGTACGTGCTTTCACTGAAAGTTTTTGTCTTGAAAACATAGCATTTAATTATGTTGTTTTGAGTGCTGAATCATCAGTAACTAAAGGATCTCACTTTAAAACTTCACACACATTCTATGACACTCATTTCATCTCGCTCCATCCTAAACTATGCTGGTACTATGTTACGTTTTACATTTGTAGTTGTTCTGCGTATATTAGGAAATTGACTGAAAAGCATTTTAACAATAACTGAAAACCAGAGATTTATAGTTGAATGATTAAGTTGTTAAAAGCTGATTAGAATGTCTTAATTTTTGTGTTTTTAATTATCTGCAGTGAGTGAGTACATTGACTACAACGTTGAAGACACGTACGTTGAGCCAACCTATTCTTACGCTGCACCAGTTGCATCATATGGAGCTCCATCACAGTCTTATGGTCCCCCTGCCCAAGGTTATGGCCATAGCCATACCGAGTACAAGACCACATACCAAGCTATCCCTGTCCCTGTCCAGTATGAGGAGGAGGAGGAGTCGTTTGGCAAGAAGCTAGCAAAGGGTTGGGAAAAGGCCAAAGAGCAAGTTTCCAAGTGGGAGGAGGAGGCCTCTAAGAAAATTAAAGACTTGTGTAAGTTACCTTTTATGTTCAAAGTAGATAGTGCAACTCTGTGTATTGTGCCATAGTGCATGTATATACTAGTTATAATTGTTTTATAAATAGCTATAAATATTTTTCTTTATCCCACAGTCTACAAAGAGGAGGAACCAGAGTACATCTACTATGAAACACCAGCTCATTATGCTCCTTCCTATGGTGCACAAGCTTACCAGGCTCCATTGCCAGTGTCCTTAGGAAAGGGAAAAGGTGGTGGTAGTGGAGGTGGCAAAGGCTTCGGAGGTGGCAAGGGAGGCTTCGGAGGCAAGGGAAAAGGTGGTAAGGGCAAAGGTGGCGGTGGCGGTGGTGGTTTCATTGCCCCAGCTCCACAGCCCATCATTGTGCAACCTCAATCGTATGGTCCTCCTCCTCCATCTTACGGTCCTCCTCCACAATCTTATGGTCCTCCTCCTCCATCTTACGGTCCTCCTCCAACATCTTATGGTGCTCCAACTGGTGGTTTTGGGCACGATGGAGGTTCCTTCCTGCGCGAGGGTCCTATTCACGATGCGGGCCCAGCTGAAGTCTCCTCATATGCTTCATAATCAGAGCATCATCCACATGGTCAAGCTCACCCGCCTCATCTCTGTCTAGCCAGAATTCCTACCTTAATGCATGCCATAGTTTATAAGATTTAATTTCCCCTCTAATGTGGGTCAATAGGCAACCCGCACTCCATATTTCATGGTTGTGATATTCCAAATTGCTCTCTACTACTTGGCTGCTTTCCTCGAGACAAATCCATCAGGGCTGTCACTGGCTTGTAGTGAGGTAGTGCCACAAACATTTTCCTGTACAAAATATTAGTGTTTTACATTCTTAAAAACACTTGAATTACGGCTAATTTTGTTTTTTTAATTCTCTGCATTGTTATTTTCTCTGTAAGCATTACACTCATCTTCCATGGTGTTTATAACTACTGTTCGTAGAATAGATTTGTTGACATTAGATTTTTGTTGTGCTAAATGTTATATCTTGCTAGTCGAGATTCAGCATACTTTTGAAATAACCGAGACTTTTCAAGACATTCATTGTGCTATACTAATTACCTTCAAATTTAGAATATCATTGTACTTTTACTATTATATTTTCATTTATTTATAGATTTATAATATGGACAATTAAGTTCATTTTCTATTATGACAACTATAAGCATGGAGGGTAAGGATTCAGGGGAACCAAAGGCACTACTGCCTTGCAGGTGGTCACAGCCGCACACACCACCACCACTCTCTCATGTTATTTATACAGTATTTAGTTTATATTTAAGATATTTTATATATATTAGAACTTAATTTCGTGTGCATTAGGTTATGTGAAAATAGCCTAAACTTATAAAATCCCAATACTGTACTGTAATTCCATGTTTAATTTTTTCATATTATATTATAGGAGTATACATTAGTAAGACTTAGTTACTGGGGTTTCCTGATGGCATAAAATAAGCCATTGGCTGTGCCAAAGGTTTTTTCACGTAGCCTTACTAATCACGTGGTGGTCGGCTTCAATGTTGAAACTTGCTCCCTTTTACGTATTACAAAATCCTATATATTCATGTGTATTTGTCTTGTCACAACCCCAGGAGAGTGAGACCGCTGCAGTATTAGCTTCCCTGGTGCCTGCCTCTCCTTCCCTCCACCTCTCATCTTAATTTCATTTGTTTTGCTCTTGGCTTTATATTAGGAAAGTGTTACATAGGATTTAACCCTTGGATGATGCCTTTTTATCAGATGAAGTATAAGGGGTCGAACTAAGGAATTTGTTATAGTTAGATAATTCAGAGCATTTAAAACAATCATAAATTTAGAGTACTGTATGTGTAAAAATGTAACAATTGTATGAAGAATCTAAAGGAATGTTATATGTGAACTGTGTGTTATTGTAAATACATACTATACTGAACTATAAGTACTGAACTGAATAAGTGAACTATACTGTATTAATGCAAAAATTTAAGTGTTAAAAAAATAACTATCATCCACCATAGTACCAGAGTAATTTAGAAACTCTTCACACCCAAGCACTTATTGCTAGTTTGTTTAGTATTGTTGTCCAAAAAGTGCATCATATATGTAGCAAATAATCATAGTTCAGCATGCAGATGATGAGTCACAATAACGTGGCTGAAGAAACGATGACCAAATCACAACTCGGAAAATGGAGAAGCGATGACGTTTCGGTCCATCCTGGACCACACGATAATGGTCCAGGACGGACCAAAATTATGTCGTTTCTCCATCTACTCAGTTGTTGTTTGGTCATCATAGTTCAGCATACCAAATCAAATCGGTGTGTTAATATTAGTATACAGTATTTTTGTATTTCATTTCTGGAGGATCCAGTGTGCATTGGATGAGCCAATCTTTAGTCCTCTTTCAATAAAATTTCCTGTACCTGTCTCCCTCTACCATTAGTTTGAAGAGAACCTGTCAGCTGCTCGCCACACTCCTTGCTCCCCTGCGTGGCAGCAGACACAATCAGGACCTTGCTCAAAACTTACAAATGGGAATGGTTTCCCAGTTCTGTCACTCTTCTTGAGGGCTTGATGGACCCATTCCTGAAAAGGAGCATTGTTTATTTGTAAACTTGAACAAGCACAAACACACACACACATATATATACAGTATATATTAATTCACAAGTAAATACAATATAAAGAAGACTTTTACTACCTTTTCTCTATATTTCCTAATATTCTCTATTTTTGAAATATAGATGAATGTTTGAGTTTTATTTCTATTGTGAGTTTACAAGAATATATATACAAACCATGGTATCATAGGAGATTATATAATATATATATAAACACACACACATTGTATATAAATACATACATGCACATGTAATGTGTATAGTTTTCAGTGTTGGAATATGCCAGTTTGTTATGCATCAGTTGTTATAATATAAAGATCAGCCATTGTGCGACACTGGTAGTATCAAGCTGTGGCCGATCATGTCAGCGTAATGTAAAGGTTTGTGTTTGGTACTCTCACAGTCGCCTGTGGCTGATGTTCCTCCCTCAGCCTCTACGAGTACCGGGAAAGTCGTTTTTTAAATTTTGCGAGCCTAGGGCTATAGTCTTAACATAAGAGTTTCTTTTTAGTGTTACAAATCAGCAGATTCCAGAGGTTTATTTTCTTTTGAAGCCAAGTCAGTCAAAGTTGAAGTGAATTTTAGCATAAATTGTTTCAACCTGCTTCTCATATCCACAAAGTACACAAATATATGCTGTATTCTGATTCAAAAATTGTATTCTACTTGTAAATCCTTGGAAGTTGTCATAATTTATTGTTACTCGAGATCCCAGAGATGATGTTTTCCTCAGAACTGGTGTGAAGACTTTCCTGTGACCCCTGCGAGAGCTGCCTCAGGAGTTACCTCACAGTGTATCAGTATAGTGTAAGCTTATACATTCTAGCATTAAGAGTGTCTTCAATATGATGTTGTAAAGTACAGAAATTTGTGTGTATCTCATCTTTATATATTAATAAAGGCCATTTTAAATTATAATTTTTTAATTTAAATTTGTCCAATTAAATATTTAACTAAATGTTGCCTCAAATAAAGCAATGTAATGTTCATGAAGAGCATTGGACCAGACAATGTATCACAATGTATATAAAAAGTTGCACAGGCCCTCAGTATACTTTAGCTCTGATCTTTAATTATTCAATTGCAAAGGATTTTTAACAAGCTACTGGAAGATGCAAATGAGAACAAAATACTGTAAAAGAAAGGGGTATAGGGAGGCCATCATTAACTACAGACCATTGTCACTGACAAGTATCTCCTGCAAATTATTCAAAAAAATAGTAAGGATAAGATTAAACACTTGGAGAGGATTCGGTACATAAACAAGGTATCAACATGGGTTTAGGGAAAGGAAATCATACCTAACAAACCTACTGGAGTTTTATTATAAGTAATGAAAATAAGACAGAACAGGAAAGATAGAGATTGCATAATTTTAGACTAACAAAAAGCTTTTGAAAGTTCTGCATAACAGATTACTACACTAACATGAAAGGCAGCTGAAAGTAACTGGAAGAGCACTGACATGAGTGAGAGTACCCAACAGACAGGAGTCGGGGTCACAGTGAAGGGTGAGAAATCAGACTGGCATAGGGTAACATATGGAGTACAGAGGATTGGTGCAAGTAGCTACACTATCATTTATGCTAATGACCTAACTATGGGAGGGTTAAGTTTTACATGTTGATCTTTGTAGACGATGCAAAATTATGAGAAGATTCAAGACAGATGGAGATTGTAAGACACTGCAAGAGGCCTTGGACATCTGCAGAGCTGGTCTAAGGGTGGAGAGGCTGCATACAGTATTTTTGACCTACAACACCATGCCTCGTATAGATTAGTTTATAAGTTTCTCAAACAGGCTGGAGAGAGATAGGAAAGTAAGTAATTATCAATAGAAGGCACCAAACCGGGAAGGCTATGTAGCATGAGAGAGATAGGAAAGATGCTACAGTAGACAAAGTAGTACTTAAGAAAACAAATTAAGAGTCATCAGAATGGCAAAACATTACCAGCAAAGTCCCACAGATGACTTAAAACAAGTCAGCTTATAAATGAGGTAGCATGCAGCTTCTCAGAGCAGATATATCTGGTGGCTTTAAAAGAATACAATCAGGCTTCAGAGAAGGGCACCCTGGCCATCGTCTGAGTGGCATAAACACAATAGTGAAAAGTAAACAGAAAGCAATGGCTCACAGTGGAACTTGTGTTCCAGGAAAAGTCAACACCACTTAGCTGAAGGTGTGAAGCTGATGGTCCTGGAAGAGGATACTGCTGGGACAGGCTGAGGGGGCAGGCTGTTTCTGTCCCCAGGTTACCCCTGGGCTGCCATCTGTTGGTGGTCAGGCAAAAGACATTTAGGGTAACTTGCAGCAGCACAATCATTTGCCTTCGTTTACATAGGGGTGCCAAATTTCCTTCAAGAAGTGACGTGTTTCATTGCACCTATATATTTTTTGCCTTGTAGTGTAAGCCACAATCTGACACTGTCTTCCAGTAGGCAACAGGTGATTTTCTAAACTCTGGTGTGTTGAGATACGGCTTGTTGGGACTGAAGTTAAGCTTGGGAAGTACTCTAGAAGACGCTTCCAGAAATGGGAAAATGCATCTAATATCTTACTTCAACAGCAGGTCCTGAAACGAACTGATCTAGATTACTGTGACATCACTGTGCAGTAAGTACAGTATATAGAATAAAAAAAATAACACCAAACCACTGTTGTGTACATCCCTACCAAGTGTACTTTATGTTCCACATCTTCACAAGATTCATGCAGCTACACTTAAAAGGGTACAGATAATTCCATCTCACCTTTAACATTTTATTAAGTGTTACTTTTTATAATAGATTCTGCAGGAAACACCTTGACTTGGTTTCTGATAACACACAAAATAATTTAGATAAAGTGTACTGTTTCTGAATTGGAAAAAGAAATGCAGTACCTGTATATTATTTTAGGAACATTTGTAAAAAGTTTCAAGATACTAATACTATTTGTTTATTGCAAAATAATTTCTCAAACTGGATTTGATTGCAGATGAAAATACAGTATACAAAATAGTTCAAATAGATGACAATTTTGTCATTAATTTTACTCTTAGTAAAATAATTTTAATTCAAATAATTTTAATTCATGCAAATTAATTTTACTCATAGTACAATAGTAATCCTATATTAATAAATGGCATATACAAGATAATCCACATGGAAGGCATCTGTGGTCAGAACTTGAGATCTTTGATGGCAGCTGGAAGATCAGGCAATTTGATATCTTTTATTTGCTGTGGTAGGTTCATGTTTTTAACAGCTGATACTGCCCGAGCAGGAGCCGCTGCTAATCCAGCCTGTAGGACAATATCGAAATTAATAGTTCTAGAAAAGTGTACACAGATGAAACTAATATTATTCATGATAATTACTAATATTTGAACAAGTGCAGCATGAAAATAGGCAAAGTTCTCACTTATTACCTGATGTGAGCTTTGGGTTTCAAAGCTTTATATCTTTACCTTAGAAACAATTTTGATTGTCTAATAACAAATTACAAAGTTATTTAATAGAAACGTTATTCTAATCTTAAAAGGGATGGATCAAGAACACCCCACTAATTTTAGCATTAACATTTGTAGTCATTATTTGGAACATGAGAAATACAGTACCTTCAGTATTTTAATATGCTCGACCCCTTAAGCCACAAGCAAAAGACATGGGATAGAGCATCAAAGCCCAAACAGATGACATCACAACCCAGCTGCAAGCCCAGACAGTGCACAAGTTTGCAAAATGTTTTAATGGTTCGAGAACTGAGTCAGCATAACAACGCGAATACATTTTAACTCATTTTAAGCACTTATTTCATTACACCTTTTGTCTATACTAATTTATTTGCAAAACAATGAGAAACCAATTTCTAACTACATATTTTATTAGTGTAAGGTCATCAAGGGAAGAAGCGTGTTCACTTTACCAGGTTAGATATATATCCCAAAGCACGTCCGTATTTTATGAAATGATCTTCAGTGTTGAGTACAATGGTAATAAATTTTCTATGTAATGCTCAAGGAATTTATAAGACAAAATTCAAAATACGAATTATGCCGATTACGGCTGAAGAATGCTCACACCAAACCTAATTCAAACTACCATACTGTACTTCAACATGTTGAGTATTTAGACTACAAAATTTAATTCACATACACATATGTGCACACATGTACATACACATGTATGCATGTATGTGAGAAAAAAGTGATTGATGTCAAAACCATCAGCTGCTCCAAATCACCATATAACAAAGATTATAGGGAAGACGGGACACCACAAACATAGCTCTCATCCTGTAACTACACTCAGGTTACACAAATGAGCATCACATTGCAAATAGAATTCAATGTGGATAAGTGCCATGTAATGGAGTGCAAAATGAGAGAAACCAGAGCCCATTCATCCTATAAATTATGTGAAAAGATGCTAAATAACTCATATACAGAGAAATCTAGAGATAGCATTGTACTGGGTAGCAAGCTGTAACCAGAGAACCACACAACACACACAGGAAGAGGAGCCTTTGCTATTCTAGTCGATTTCAGAATTGCATTCAAATTCGTCGATGGGCAAAAGGCCAAAAAAAAAAAAAATGATTTACGACATACATGAGATCTAAACTTAAATACCCAGTAATTGTATGGTTACCATATTTCATAAAATGCAAGAATAAACTAGAAAAAGTTCCAAAGATATGCTACTAAAACACTCTCGAAACTAAAACACAAGCTATGCCAAAACTAGTGAACATTAGCAAAAGAGGTTACATGATAATGACATTCAAAATTGTAAGGAATTTACAAAATTGCAGAGCAGTTTTGTAAATTTGCAACATGAACGACAAAAGGGCATAAAATATATGAAAATAAACAACAGCCCTTAATGTAAGGAAATGCCTTTTTCTGGTGGGTCCCTTTGCTTGCCACTTGAGTTACCCACCTGGCTAACTCCAAACCTGAAGTACACCACCAGGCCCTTGTGAGTCATGAGAACCTAACAGGGACCTGTATCCAACAACAGAAGCAAAGGAGTCTGAGGGTACTATATTAAACCAGGCCAAAAGGAAAAATCTCCAGAAAGGTAAAATGCCCTAAAACAAGCAACTGCATGACAACACTGGTACCTCCAACAAAAAAATTACAACACTCATTAACCAACCCCAACTTGTAGTTCGATACACTGATCAGGTGGCACCCCTGGCAACCCAAGCTCCCTGCTGGCTACCAATCTGACATGTGCCACTGTAATATGACCATGATAACCTCTGCAAGGGTGGGAAATGGGAGGTCTTCAAGAGGACCCATCAGAAAGTGGCACTTCATTACATTTCATGCTGGTTTTCTAGAGGCATCCCCTTTGGTGGTGTCTTGCACTATCTCTGTACAACAGGGAAAAAGAGGGCTTACAAGGGGTAAGAGGAAGAGGTTTTGCACTTGCAGAGCAGCAAGGAACCTTTAAGCAATCAACACCAGGACAAAGAAGGAAATGAACAAGAAACCATGATATAATATCCAAAGAACCCCTCGAAAACCCTGCCATTGTAAACTGAGCCAAAAAGGAAGAAGACAACAGCAGATGAAGGAACAAAAAGAAAACATGAGAAAAGATCTGGGACCAAAGAATACAGAAATGAGAAGAAAACTGAAAAACAAGAACAATCTAGTGACAAAGGCAGTCCAGGAGAAGGAGAGCAAGCTAAATGAGAAAAAAAATGGTCCGGGTTAATGTACAAACTAGCAAAAACAAAACGACGACACTAAAAGCCAATAAAATAGGCTCTGCCAAATCCGACCAAGTGGAAATAACAGTATGAGGCAATGGAAAATGGTCAACAAACAGCCAAAAAAGAAAAGACATGAAGAATGGAACTGAAACAGGCAGCAAAGAGACAAAATGTAAAAAATACTGCCAGGCAATCCCTTACTGCAGCCTGTAAGATACAAATCTGATATTCTAAGACCTGCAACCCGATGAACCCCACCAACACAAACTGGGGGGGGTGGGGGGACCAGGCAAATACCTAAGTGTAATGGTAAGGTGCAGGGAAATGTTCGTGGTACTTGTGTCAATCACTCCCTACCCGACCTGGAAAATGCAATGAAGGAAAGCATAAGCTATAACCAAAGCAAGAGCTGGTTTAGAACTCAATGCAACTGACAACAAAAAAGGGAATTCTAGCCACAGGCAGATGAGGCAAACATGATTTGAGGCTTACATAAGAATGAAGCTAAAAAGAATACACATGTAAAGTACAGTACAACAAATTGGAACAAATACACACAGAGGTCCCTGTAGGACCAAGTCCCACTCAGCTGAACTGAAGCTAGGAAGAGTGGAAAGAACACTAGGCGTTGTTAATGCAATCATACCCTGTGCATAACTGAGATGGGACACTGCAGGGAGTATGAATTGCAGGATCTGTCGCCTGCTGCTGGTGCTCGAGTAGCTACCATTTAGGTCTGGATAATGAGTGCTGTCATAGTTTTTGTCTGGGGTACCAATATTGCCATGCAGTTGCTTCTTTTGGGGCAACTGCAAAACCACTAGAAGTGCCTTTCTGGTAGCTTTTCCTTTTGGCCTGTGTTAATCTAGTACCTGCAGATGCCTTTGCCTCTATTTTAAGGAGGCACTCACGACTCACAGAGATTTGACGTCAACCAGGCAGGTAGTTCTAAGAGCCACTAAAGGGCGCCCTCCCAGAAAACACTACATTCATCAATGCAGAGTGTACCTATTTTTAAATAATCACTAAGACAAGGTAGCTTGTCCAATGCAAGTGAAAATATATTTCAGTATCATTATGGAAATATAATGAATTATGTAATTTCTATGTTTACTGTATGATAACAATAAAAAACTAAACATATTCAAATTATGTATCACCATACATGTTTATTGCACTGTCAATCTTCTTATCAAGCCTGGCTCACCTCAGTAGGAGATCAAAGCATAAACCTCAAAAATGTGCACATGTTAAAATAAGGAAAAAGAAGTCCTTTGTTACCATGTAATCGTGCTTAGATATTGGGGAAAGTCTTAAAAAGAAAACTATAATATTAACTTAATAAACTAGGAGAAAGAGAGCAGACTGCTTATATAGCATACCTATATTTTACTACTGGTTAAACTATATCAAACACCCATAAAGATCTCTGCTGCAGTGCAAATTTCAGAGAATAAAGTGGTTAAAGTTTAGAGAGATGATAAATTGGATGTTAGGTTTATGCAAGACTAAGCAGAGATGATACAGAAACATGTGGAATGAAGTGAAGATTACATGGAGGGAGCATGATTATTACTGAATGATTAGTGGTATAAGGCACTGACTGAGATCTCTTGGCATGGTTCAATTTTGAACAATGACAAACATAGTACTATTCTGAATTTTGTATATGGTAAAGATAGATAGATATAGATAGATAGAGATATAGATAGATAGAGATATAGATAGATAGATAATGATACTGGCGACCATAGGAGGATTCATATGCTTCAGGCTGTGTTCATTTGGGAGCTGACACCAGTAATCAACATCCAGATGAATTTGGCTTCGAGCATACAACTGTTCGATGGTCCTCCATTGATTCAGTGGAAAAATGTAAGACCTACATGAGCGAACAATGGCAGATAGAAACCAGATAGACATACATATACTGTATATATGTGTATGTGTATGTGTATGTGTGTGTGTGTGTGTGTGTGTGTACTCGCCTAATTGTGCTTGCGGGGGGTTGAGCTCTGGCTCTTTGGTCCCGCCTCAGACCGAGGCAGGACCTGTGTGTGTGTGTATGTTGTCTACACTATGAAAATGCAGTATTTCCTATTTTTAGTATGAACAAAATTAAACTTATTGTAATAGACCAGTAACAAAGGCATATGCTCCATGCAATGACAGTGGTTAGTGGAAACATTTCATTGTTCTCTACTTTATAATGAGACTGGAATGATGTCAAATATTAGAATAATAGTTATGGGTAATTTGAACAACAAGGTGGCGCAAGCACTAATAATTATGAGGTGGCTGTTCATGACATTCTGATTTTTTTAACAGTCCTTTAGACTGAAAGATTAATAATTAAAGATTTACATATTACTGATTCATATTATAAGAACAAGGACATACACAAATATATAGTACATACCAGGTATCTTATGAATAATGAAAGAGTAAATAAGAACCTGAAGACTTATATACTCCAGGAGACTTATATAATCCAGGAGTGGATTCTACTGCTTAATTTGACTCAACACTGGGAACCGCACCAGGCCCAGACACCGGAAGGATTGACAGAGAAGAAAAGACAATGAATAATAAAAGTTGAGAAATTAGGATTTAGAGTTGTTCCATGAGCATAAAAATTGAGTTGGTACATATCTAGGACCATGAGTACAGAAACAGAGTTGGTACAGATCTAGGAGCAACAAACTGAGGTGTCGATCTAAAGGACAAGCGAGGTGACTTCAAGGACTGTTTCATTAAGAATTCGCTGCAAGTGTATGGCACTGTATAAACTAGAAGAGCAAGAGGAACTGCTTGGTTGAACGAAGTAACAAAAATAGATGAAAACAACAAAGTGAAGTCTATGAATAACAAATTAAAAGGTATGTGAAAACATTAAAGAGAAGAAAGAGAAGAAGAATTGAGCTGGAAAAACATTAAAAAATCTTAGTGACAACTGGATGCTTTATGAGTTGAGGGGCCCTTAGATGCTCTTGTAAACAAGAAGCCCATTGGCCCACTAGGCAATGTCACTACACTAAGCACCTGCAAGCCTGATAAGGATCTTTGCAAATGGGCAAAGGAGCCTAATTCTAAAATGGGCCTAATTCTAAACATTACTGAGACCAGCTCGCTATAAGACAGCCAACAGCAATAACCTTAACATCCATCACAAGCATTAGTTAGCAATGCAAGGAATACTAATCAAAACACTGAAAACAACTGCTACCAACTATAGTACATTCCATCACCATCAGATGGTAGAACCCTGCTAGTAAACAAGGTTGGAGTGAATCATCTCACTTTATCCTCGAGTCACCACCGTCACTCTCCTGAGTTTTGCAATGGCCAATTAGATAACTTTGGTTAGTTCTTCCATTAAGATTATTGTTTCAATGCAGGGTAATCCATGCACTTACAGTTTGCTCATAGCATACCTTCCTCCAAGGCTCGGCTCTGGTTTGCATTCAGAGTTCTCCTGCAGTGCAGTGATAAAATTGGTGGCATTCAACTCATATTCTCTTATAGTGGCACTAGACTCAAACAGTAAGGTCACTTCAACCTTCTCCAGCATTAACCCTTAATGTGGCTCACATTTACGGAAGGTGCTGAATGTGCTTGCATACTTTCTCTCAATTTTCTTGACTGGCAAGTAGTATGGTAATGATTTGCCTCAGACTTGCCATTATCTCCCTAACCCACCTTTTGTTTCTGAATAAACCATTTGTAAAAATCTTATCGAGCTTAGGGGAAGGCAACAAGAGCCTAGCATAGCAATGTTGGTTTGGTGGTCCAAATGGCTTTGGCTTGGGGAGCATCCAAGAGACTGGTCAGAAAGTACTATTTCATTAAGTTCAATACCCAATGTTTTTGAAGTAAAAAGTGTAACAAAGAAACTACCAGCAAAATGAATGACAGTATTTACTGCATAAGAATGGTGAATAAGAATTACTGATTCATTAGTTTACCAAGTACAGTATAGTGAATAAAGTATACTATAGGGCAGCGATTGAAAGGTTGAAAAATCAAACCGAAGAAACGTGTCAACAATGAACATAGAGGAAGAGAATGTTTGCATCAGATATCGTATACATCAGAGCTAAGACAGCTAGTGAATCATGCATGTGAGGAAGACAAAGGTGTACATGGGTTTTAGACTCTTTGGAGAAAGTACATAACAAAATTAAAAGAGCACAATTAGTCTGTAAGGAGATGGTGCAATATTTTCACATGCAGTAAAGTTTTCATTTGAGAAGTAACCTAGAGCATTTATAAAGGCTAGTGGTGTGATGAGTAACCAGCCTGTATATATGAATGTGAAATATTAGTACGAACTTTTAGAACAAATGCGAGAAAACAGTAGAGACCGATGATCTGAGGAGACACGCATCATGCTTGGAAGACAGAATAAGGTATTATAAGAGAAAACATTGGGATTGAACCAGCATCCCTGGACTTTCCAAGCATTCCCTCACAGATACATCATGATATTGTGATTTCAGTGAGCAAGGAATAGCATCATCGTGGAAAGATGTGGCGTGAGTTAGTAAATTGTATGATTAATAAATCTGCCATGATGCTTTTATATGCTGAATGAATGAATGATACATTAATGAAGAGAGGAGTATTCAAGTGAATTTGAGGGTACAAAAAATTACCAGAGGTAGGCCAATAAGGACAGGTAAGTTGACTGTGTGTAATTACCCAAGTGTAGTTACAGGACCCAAGCTTTGTGCCCTGGAGAGATTGACAACCAGAGCGCAACTCCATAGTCTCAAGAGACTGAAGGATGCCTACTACTGCTTACTAGTTACAGCATGAGAGCTATGCTCATGGTGTCATGTGTATAGAAGCATTAAGTACTGGTAAGTGTTATCAGCATTAAAGAAGTGGTATAGAGTAAGGTTGAGTGCAAGCAGTTTGTTAAGAGGAAGTGAATGACATTTTTGGATGCAACTTACGAGGAGTACTTTACATCTAGTCTATGAAGCAGTGGAGATGCTACTAGGGATGATTTGCTGGAGTATGGTAGAGCTGATTTTCTGTGATGCTGTTGTGTATGGAAGGTATGGTGAATGGATGAATTATTCTTTGGAATAGTTATAACCTTCTTTTTAAATATTTCTCTCCTATCTTCTCTGGCAAATATCTCCCAGTGCCATGAAAGTGAAAAATAGGGTAGTAATAATGATGATAAGGACCATAATATGAAGAAAAAAGCACTCAAAGCAAATAACCAACAACAAATTAAAGATGAACATATATATATATATACATGATCAAATCTATTGAATGTTGTTATTTTTTCTTCAATGTAACTGGAGCCTCTGAATGAATACTGTACCTACATTTATTTACCTTTATCACAGAATGTTAACACCAATGCCAAATTACAGCTATCATGCAAAATTCATCACAGCAAATCCTGCAAAATTCATCACAGCAAACAATGCAAAATTAATCACAACAAACCATGCAAAAATCATCACAGCAAACTTGTCACCAATGAAAACACAGTTTGCATTATGTTTGGCAGGTCCATGCTTACTATATACTTAGTTAAATAATTTCTTAAAGGCCATATGCAACCAACTTGTTATAGGTTCATCTTTTCAAAGAATCACTAGTCCAGTTCTTGAGCAGTGATATATTTTCACACATTTTTTACCAAAGGGTTTCAGTTTCTGAACACTAAATAATTTTAGAAATTGAGCAACAACTTTGTAGAAGGAATGCCATGATTGGCTGGAAGTGGTCAATATCAAAAATACATTGTCTAGAGTGTGCCTGGGAGTACCCAGTGCATAGCTTCGAAGCCTCCTCGTGACTCCTGCTGATTTTCTCATTGGTACATCACGTTAATGGGATTTCTTTGTGCATGGTCAATATTAGTTCAAATCTGAACTAGTTACTCAAATGGAAAGCAAGAAGAGAACATTCCACAAAAACTGAACAGGGGGATTCCCCCTCTCCCTAAAAAATTCTCTCCACTAAAGGTTTAAATAGCCTTCAATCTGGGCTTTAAACCTTGACCAGGATCTACTGGGCATTAATTCTTAACTGTTTAACCCTATTTCCAAATTGGAGAACTGGTTGTAAACCAATCAGCAGGTTATGTTCCCGGGAAAACTTGTAGTGTAAAGCTTAACAAGAACTATGGGAAAGGAAACCTTTAAACCTGCTAGCAGGAGAAAGAATTCACCGACTCCTATACCCATTTGTGTAAAAAAAATACAAAATCATTGATTGTAATGAAATGTCTTTTTGATGGGTCCATCATTACCTCCCCCAAGCTACACAGTGGTATACTTGTCAAACTTTTAGTACCACACACGCATTTGTAAATTGACAATGCCTGATCAGACCATTACCAGAATTTGGTAAACTCAACAGAGGGAAAGGGAAGTCTGGGGATCTAGGATCATCATAGCAACAAAGAGAAAAGATCACCAGAAAGATACAGCACACCAAAACAAGTAACTGCATGAATTGCATTTGCAACACCTGATCGCAATTATGCAAACAATTATTACCCAAGCCACCAGATAGCAGCCCTGTCACCTAGGGCCCTGAGCCACCAACCCAGTCATTCACTACCTCCCACCCCAATGCATGACTCCCATTCATGTACTGTTTAATACACGAGTGATGGGGATGAATATAAATATTAGCTGCCTCATAAGTGCCAACAGGCCTTATAACAACAGTAACAGCACACAAGTTACACTGAGACCTTATGATATTTAAATGGTGCACTTATCCAGAGCAAAACAATGCATTTTGTCTTGCTATTTAATGGTCAATTTCATTATGTCCCCTTGATATGATAAACTGACTTGTTTTACTTTAAAATATTTCAAAATGCTTGCATGCGACCTTTAACATAAGCTCTTGATTTTTTTTTATTATGTTATTGGGTAGGTTTATTAAGCACAAATCCTTTCATTAACTTATATACATTCCTGGTAAGTCAGCCTGACATGCAAGAAAGCAGATGTGTCTACCACAATAAACAGTAGACATTCTTATGGCTCACTATGTGAGCTCTCTCAGATGCATGAACAGCTTTTGAGGGGATGTCACCTGAAAAAAGCATCACACCACAGGCTTATATAAATCAGAGCATCAATAAGTCAATATTTACAGAAACTTGTAAATGGAAGAGTAGGTATAGCAATATGTATAAGCTTTATATTTCACCTATAAATTACACATGAAATATGCTGTAAACAAAACTTTCTGAGTTGACACTCGGCTGTACCCTTCGGTAGCACTATGCACAGTCAAGGCAGGTCACCATCTTGGCACAACAGGAATCTTTCTTTACTACCACTATTGAGTTATACGGATGAAAGACACACTAAAGAATTCTCAATTCAGCCTGGAATGAACTTTAGAAGGCTTATTCAACTACAATAAAACCCTTCCAAGTGCTACACAACATTAAAGAGCTGCCAAAGAATGCTCTGTTAGTTGTTTATCGGTATGCCTGGCTATGCTGATTAACCCCAACCCCCACCAGGTGTCAGCAGTGTAACCCAACTCTGCCCACCTGACATTTATCCTCAATGTTCCCGTAAGTATTTAGGAATGGTAGGCACGAAAATAATTCCATCAAGTCATTTGTTTTTATCATTGAGGAGTTGGTCAATACTGCAGTACTGGTAGTGGACACTTCTTATGTGCATGTACTGTATATACAATCACTGCATGTCTCTGGATTCTGTAACTCACTGGTGTTACAGTTATGTTCTCTGTACCAGTTTAGTTAGTGCCTCAGAAGAGGGCATTATTTTGCTTTCTTCTGCTTTTGTGGCCTGTGTTCTAGATTGAAGGACGGTGGGCATGCATATTAAGGAAGCATTTAGTTGCCATATCACCTATGTGCAGTTACACTATATGCTCTGTTTACCTCAGGTCATACTTGAAAGATTAATTCATGGTTGTATTTTTGTTATTTCAAGTCAAGGTCTCCCCTCAACCATCCTTTCCTACAGTATTAGGGAGATGGGTTAGGAGACCTTGATAAAAACCTCTTAATGGTACCTGATTCCTACACCAGGCTGCATGCAGCAGCATCCAACAACTTGATTGACCATAACATCAACCAGGAGTCCAAGTTAAAGACTGAACCAGATGAAGGTAACATCATGGTAGAGTATGCCATGAATATATTTAGTAAACCAGTTCTCTCTGTTTCATACTACCATCCTAAGTGAAGGTCATGAGACTTGGTAGATCTTGAGGTTATCTTGAGATGATTTTGGGTTTTGGGGCTTAGTGTCTCCGCGGCCTGGTTCTCGACCAGGCCTCCACCCCCAGGAAGCAGCCCGTGACAGCTGACTAACTCCTAGGTACCTATTTACTGCTAGGTAACGAGCATCAGGGTGAAAGAAACTCTGCCCATTGTTTCTCGCCGGCGCCCAAGATCGAACCCGGGACCACAGGATCACGTGACCAGTGTTCTGTCCACTCAGCCACCGGCTCCCTACAACCCTCCCTACAGACTACAACCTTGTTTAAGTTCCATTGTGTTGTTAGCTATCAAGACTATAAATACAAGCACAGTATTGTCATAAACCTGCATTGTATAATTTTTTGCAGGATTCCAGATATATAGTTTTTAACTTTAAAATTCATCTCTTTTTGCATATGGCATTCTTCATGTTGGGTGCAGGGTTGTTTCCATTCGCTCAGGTATGGCCTGCTGATTTGTTCAAACCCTAATCTGAGCAGTCAGCCTATAAAACAGATAAGCTGAGGGCTCGTTCATTGAAATATCAGCACTGTAGGTCCAGATTTTTATATGAATTCTTTGCAGATTCCACTATTTTTCAAGGAGAATTTGACTGGCTTGTTTTAAATGTAGCTTAACCCTGCCACTGTGAAAGTCATACAGGGATGACCGTGACATATCTAACTAACCAACCTTAAGAATAGAAGAAACCATGTTTCCTCTGTTCTTAAGAAGCACTTAAAAGGGGTTTCAAAGTACGAAGTTGAATAAACTTTTGCAAAGGTTGCTATAGTCAATTTTGAGAATTGTGTTACTCTCACACCCCCAGAAATGAGCCAGGCTTTTCTGGTGATAACTTTTTTGGCAAGGCTATTGCTTGCAAAAGCTCATAATCCCACAAATCCTTTACAACCCATATGATAACAATTTCTAAAGAAACTTGTCCAAATCCCTCTTGAAAATTAAACTTTTGTTACACCAACATTGTTTATATTGACTGAATTTAAAAGATGATTGGTTAAAAAAATGTCAGATCTTTGATGTTTATATGCTATTCTCTGTGTCTTTGACACCTCTATTTTATACTGGCTCAATTTTGCATTTCCATGCATCAGTATGACCTGACGAAAGTGTGAAAAGATCATTGTTCCAACAGTGCCACATGTTAACATGCCCCAAGTGTACATAGCCCTATCTAAGAGAACATTAAGACATTGTCCAAGATTGAAGCCAAATGGCTTGCTTAGGAAGGAACTTTCATCAAGACTCAGCCTTAATTTAACAAAGCTACAATTTCAATACATCATACAGTGGGGACCTGCTTAAAAAAATACATTAGTCTGGTAAAAGCCTAAGCACACTCAAGATCATAAAAGCTGCTGATAATCCACAGCCCTACATGGTCTTTTCACACATGAATGTGTAACGCACTTACTCTAAGTGATGACGCAGATGCAGAATTATATGGGCCCTGTAGATTAAATTAGTAAAGTACAGTATATGGATTATTTTTCTTCTAATTTAACTTCACAATGAAACATTATCAGTGAAATATTTTTAACAAACTAATATTATAATCACAGTCAATCAAGGGACATATTCTCAATCCCTATTCCAGACATTTCTCAATTAAACAACTAGAAAATCCTCTAGAGCTCGACTCTGGAAGTGACTCGAACCCACGACCAATGTACTACCAGCTGCAACCTCTAGCACTGTACAGTACTCTGTTATGATTGCCATCTAATAACCATTCTTTCCAGCCTAAAGAGTCATTCTTACCCACCTAGAAAGGTTGCAGACAGCCCAAGCTGTAATTTAAGTTAAGAATGAACAAGTCTTAAACACAATCTTGCATAATATTTGGATGTTAAGGGGTGAATTGTGGCAGATTGCGAAACAAAATGGTACCCAAGAGGGCGGTGATACATCCGGGAACTATTGGATTGCAGTGACATGTCTAGAGTTCACACAATGAGAGAGGTGAGTGGAGGTGGCTCAGGTGCTCAGTCAATCAGCAACGAGCTTTCTGCGACGTCATTGGTGGGCACCGAGCCCGCCCAGCTCACTATTCAGCTAGACTTCCGATGGGAAGGTTGACCTTGGGCGCTCTCGCAAGGATCAGCAGATTTGGATTTTAAGTGGCCAGTTGAGCCTAGGAGAGAGGCAACAGGACTCTGACCACATTGAGGCACTAAGGGGACCTTTCTGGATAAGATCGTATGAGTATTGTTGACGAAGGGACCTGCTGAGAGTAGAAGAGACTCGATAGCATGCCAGACTCAGTGGAGGGAGCTGCAAGTACCTTCATTTGGATCTTGATGGGTCAACGTGAATGGACTGACTGTCAAAGCCTAGTGAGAGTCCCGACCAGTGAACGTCGGAAAGGGTAACGACTTAGTGTGTGTGAATCTTTCAGGAGTAGCCATTGAAGAGGCTATTGAAGACACGACCCGAGGTCATGGTAAGCAAATGCTCCTTTTTATTTTTGTCTGTGAAGAGGCAAGTGGAATGTTGACTGTGACCCTGGAAAGGGAATGCTTTATTTAACTGTGCCAAAGAAGTGGTTGTGAACAATTGTGGATCAATGTTAAACAATTCTACAGTAACCAGTGAGGTGAGCAATTGTGGCAGAAATTAATATCTCTGGTTACCCTAGCTTCAGACACAAGCATGTTACAGTTATGTCTTAAAGAATTGAGAGCCATTAATGATGATAATGAGTCACTTAAAATTAATATATCAAGTTAGGAGACTTCTACACATTTTAGTGTAAGAAGCAAGGCAAATAGTTCAGTTTAAAGGGTAGAGGCCCAGTTTATTCGGACTCTGAATGCATGACAGAGCTGATGAGTCAGCCAAAGAATCTGCTTTTGAAGGCAAAATTGAGTACCGTATGACCTTGGATTGTCAATAAGCAGTCTGAGAACAAAAGTACATCAAGAACTTCAACAAAATCTTGTAGATCTGAGGCAAAGTGAAATTGACACCAGTAATTCCATCTATCATCATACTATCATGCAAGAGGAGCCACACATCTATGGATCATCCAATAAAATCAGCAGACTTCTAGATGTTACTACTACTTGACTTACACTCAGTTACAAGTATCTCTGGGAATTCTCATTATCTGCTGATTTAGACCCGACCAAATGTAAACTGTGTCAACAAAATTATTTGCACACACCCTGTCACTATGTGATGGAGTGCGAAAAGATACGGGAATTCAGAGACAATTCTGTAACAAATGTTCCAGAGGTGTAAATATTTAATTCAAAATGATCTGCTACTTGTCTTGGCCAAATATCCCCAGTTTGCTAACTGTAGGTAGTAACTAAGTGGCTGTAACCTTTCCACTGCTGCCCCCACTGGATGGGAGCAGTGTACAGGACAAACATATCAATTGTGACACTAGCTCTCCACATGTCAGTTGCTTCATTTAGAAACTGTACTTGTGGTCGGTCTCGAGCCCATTGTTGATGTGATGATGTGCACTCAATGTTGTAACTTGCTTATCAAGATTGTAACTTACTTAGCTAAATGAATTGTGGGGGTTCAATCCCTGACCCATTATGTGTCTCTAACACTTTCCACTACCACCCACAGGATGGGTTTGGAGTATATAAATGATAAATTTATAAATGAACTAACAATACATGAACTAAACTGGTTACCCTATAAAGACAGTGAATATAGGATATATAAGCGTTGTCGCAGTTTGTGACAACGACTGCATAACATAGTAAAACTAGTTCAGATCAGGCATTAAGAGATTCAAGTTAAAAATTAATATGATGAAGCTTTCTTAAGATACCACACAGAAACAGGAAAACACAACAAAAATGTTTTGTCGTGGTGTTATATTGCCCAACTTCAATAGAAACCAAACCGTTCTTGCTCAAACTAATATGTTCGGTTTATATTAAATAGGATGAGGTATTCTCAAGATATTGAACAAAAATCCGTCAGGAAAAGAAAGCAAAATAAACATAATAAAACCATATGGCATTCCTATTGGGGATATCTAATAAGCACATCAAATATTTATGAAAAACTTAAAAGTTTAAAATTACACAAAATATGTAGTAGATTACCATAAACAATAAATTAAGGTCAAAAACAATTTCTTTGCTGGCTGTTATTGGGTAGGAGTTTAAAAGAATAATACAGAAATTATGAAATGACAATTGGGGTATTTGTGATCTAACTTTAATGCCATCAATTTAAGTAAATCAACACCAAATTGCATATTAAAATGCAGCCAAAGTTAGCAAGAGGTATCCCATCAACATACATGAGAACATGAAACAAGAAAACATGAAAGCAATCAGGCTGTACCATACATGGAAGGTATGAAACATGAGGACATGACAACAGTTAAGCTGTACCTCACACAAAAGACATGAAACCACGAGGAAATGACAGCAGGTAGGCTATACAAGAGAGCATCAAACACGAGGCCCACAGGCTGGGTGGCACTTTTGATGATAGCCATTCTTTAAGGGGTTAATGATTTTGCACTAAAATAGGATAATGTACATTCTAAAATAAATATTTGTACTAAATAAAAAAAGCAAATACTAGTACTATAATGCTAAAATTTAGACCTTCGATCAGACACGAAGTGGTTAGGTTATTTAGAAACACTTTTCCCTGAACACACGTCACTAATATCTTTAAACCAGGGTCTGCAATTACTGCTAGATACACATGGGTGACCTGAGTAAAAGAATGGTATCTACCTGCTCCACCCTGCCCAGGATTTGAACCCAGATCTTCTCACTCAAGAGACAAGTGTAGGTGAGTGTAGGTGACAAATTAGGTCACTCAAGAGTGACCTAATTAGGTCACTCAATTACTCAAGAGACAAGTGTACCAACTACTACAACACAAGCTACCCAAGAATAATATTGCACAAATATATAAGAATTGGTACACTGCACAAAATTTAAGAAGATAAAGCCAGCTCAACTGAGTAAAACTTTCATGAAAGCTGGCCATATGATCTCTTAGAAAATAGGACCTATGACTTTTCCATGTTTAAAACTGATTCAGTGGTTAATATTATGTAAACATTTTTGTTTAATCATACCAATATTAATTTAATATTTAAGGAAATATGGTTTCATACATTTCAAATTTTAAATGAAAGCCAGCTACCTAATCTTTTTGAAATTAATATCATTGGCTTTCCCAAGACCAAAACCATTTATTAAGGTTTAGATTTTGTCTATAATTTTTATTTTGACCAGCTTAAACTAGCATTTAATTAGATATGGTCCAATATATATTCTGACTGAGCAAAACTCCCATAAATCATAATGGAAACTAGCTACACGATCCTTTTCAATAGAAGCCTATTGACTGTTTGCACCCAAAGCTTTTCTTTGTATTAAGATGACATCCACCGCACCCTAAAAAAAATGTTTAGTCCATATTTAACATGATACAGATGAAAAGTAATTACCAGAATAAAACCTGCAGCAACTTCTACTAAGCCAAATTTATAATTGTATTAACACATGCAAACCTGCGTGGAACCAAATATTAGCCATGTAAATTATTTGAATGAGTTTCAGCAAAGAAATGCACATCAATTCAGTCGTGCCTAACTGACAGTTGTCAGTCCTGTACGCGAGACGATGGAAAACTATATGTTGCTTTAGATTTAGCTACTCAGAACGAAATGTCCATGTACAGTGTAATATTATATATATTATGTATATATATATATATATATATATATATATATATATATATATATATATATATATATATATATATATATATATATATATATATATATATATATATATATTGTATACTAAACATGCACCACCACACACTAAAAAAGTGAAATATGCAATTTGGGGCAAAGAGTTAAATGAAAGGTAATGAAGCATCAAGATTATACAAAAAAAAAAAATTACAACACTTCTATTCAAGTTTTATCAAAGAATAAAATATTGTTACCTCTTGTTTTTCCAGTTTGTTTTGGTCTTCTATTCTTGTAATGATTTCAGTCATATTTGTCTCAAGCACCATTCCTCCCATTACTAGCTCATTCAGAATATAATGAACCTGCAAATAATGTTAATTAAAATAAGCATATATTTTACCATTAATATCCATAACAATTTCAGAGCAATACAGTACTTTAATTGTAATGGACACTGATTACAGATACCATTATGCCCGAGCAATGTGAGCTCAGTGGGTGTAGAAAAACATCACATTTAGCATTGCTGACATCACTTTCACTTTATGAAAAATGTACACTTTCATCAGCACTAGAAATATTGCAACTATCAATCTAAAATACAGTATTACATTTGCATCTATTTTTCCTATTAGAGGAATACCAAAACTTAAAAGTACCAGTATTGTATGTAAATTAGAACACGAGAAAAGCTATAAGAAACAAAAAGATGAGAATTCGGATGCCCACAATGCAAGTAGAAAAAAATTACGTGCTAGTAAATTGTTTAACATTACTGTACCTTTTACCAACAGACGGTAAAAGCTACCCCCCAGTAATAGACACTGTATACAGCATAGTTCATCCCATTTACTTCAACTTGCAAAATACCTCTTGATTCATATTTTATATATTTTCTTCAACCTATCCTTTCAATATATATTTATTTACAAATTTTAGCAAAAAACTTTGAAGTTACTGGTTGACATACAAGTAACTTCAAAGGAGATATGAAGTTATCAACATATCTTACCTTATCAACATGAAATATGAGATCCAGCTCACAGACATTTTCAAAGCATTTGTCAAGGGTTTCTACAAAAACTTGAATGAGATCTAGAATTCCCAGCTCACTTTCTGATGAATCAACACAAAAGACAAAGTACAACGTAGCATAATGACGATATATTAATTTGTAGTCTGCTCCTCCAATCAAACTGAAATAAACAATAATTCAATAAAATACAGTACTGTATGTACATCAAATTTTACTTCAGAATAAATTATCTGAAATAATAGAGATCATATTCATCCAATTTTAAACACAGTAATAATTAATAATTGAATAATAATAATAATAATTCATTGTGTCAGGAGACAGGTTTATTGCTAGGTGGATAGGGACATTAGGTGATAGGAAACACACACCTAACCATTTTTGTTCTACCTGGGATTCGCATAAAACGCTAAACTACTGAAAAACACTTAATACATAATCTCTAACCTGCCACCCTCAAGAAAATTGCAAACATTGTCATCTCTCTTGGACACCAACTGGAATGTTTCTTTGATTATCTGTTGCTGCATTTCTTCATTCTGAAAGTAATTTTTTTTTTTAATTATCAGGGGAAAGTGCCAAGCCATTACGACTTTATAGTACTGGGAAGGGGTCAGGATAAGGATTTGGGATGGGATGGGAGAAAGGAATGGTGCCCAACCACTTGGACGGTCGGAGATTGAACGCCGACCTGCATGAAGCGAGACTGTCGCTCTACCGTCCAGTCAAAGTGGCTGGACAAAGTAAATAAGATATTAGTCATGGTATAATGCAACCCAATAATTATTGATTAATATAGAAAGTATTATATATATATTTAGTGAACACATTTTTGCATCAAATTAACATGGTAATAGCTGAAGGATTAGCTTCAGTGGCAGTATATTGACCATAAAATCTGTACAGGGTATCAATAAATTTTGGCTAAAAATGAGTGAAGTACAATTAGGTCTGGCTTATATGAAGGGAATTCGATTCCAACAACTTTGGAAAATCAATACAGTACTTAAGATACTGTACATGTACATTGGGCACTGCAGTATATTAATGTAATACAACTGCTTACAATATAGTCATATACTGTACATTTAGCTCCAAAAAAACACAAAAACAATCAATCAATGTTTATTCCAAATAATGTGTGTACAAAGAACATAAGAGTAATGTACAATTGTAAGGACAGGAGTTACACATACTAATGAAGCCACTATTATGCAAAACATTTTGGGCAAGACCACATGAATATGTAATACTGTATAGTACATCCACAGCTGCCATTATGGACTGATTTCATGAAAAGTTATACCATTTATAATTTACTCCTGATCTTAAGGTGAACAAAAAACCATTATACCAAATATTAGCACCCTTAAAATGTACTATTTAAACCATTCAACATACTGGAACTTCTCAAGAATCCAGTCCGTCTAATTACCGCAAGCTACCACAAGCTACACAAGCTTCACAAAGCTTCCTCGCAATACGTTAGTAATGAATAAATATGATATATTTACTCATTATAATGTTGGTGCTGAATGTACAACACAAAAAAAACATAATTTTAATCTGAAAAAGTATCTTTTTATAAAGAAATTAAACGAAAATAAAGAGCTGGTGATGCCAAATCAAGTTGACGATCCAAGCGTCAGTTAGGTTAGGTTAGGTTAGGTTAGGTCAGCCTAACCTAACATTTATTTATTTATTTATGCATATACAAGAATGTACATAAGGAATGTGAGGATACAAATATGGTAATTACAGTCTTGTAAAGCCACTAGCACGCGCAGTGTTTCGGGCAGGTCCTTAATCTAAGAAAATTTTAAGGAGGTAAATACTTGCAAAATTTATAGACAAAAAAATGATAACAGTTACATGAAATGAAAAAAAAGAAGATGAGAGAAAATTGTAGGTACAGTATATTAAAGCACATAAGTAGCTAAGATTGATTGCAATGACAGCTTGAATGGTAGTTGACAAAAATTGGTAGTCACAATACAGCATATGGCTAGCACATAAAAGAAGACAGCAATGAACACAATGATAAGGTTGTTTGATATTACATAAAAATTAGGAGATTGGGTAACACTAGGTACAGAGCAAATTTAAAGCTCAGTGTAGGAAACTAAGAAGATGAAGTTAGGTACTTTTTGGTTTTGCTTTTAAATAAGGCAAAAGTTTTACAGTTTTTCAATTCACTAGGGAGTGAGTTCCATAGACTAGGTCCCTTAATTTGCATAGTGTTTACACAGATTAAGTTTGACCCTGGGGATATCAAAGAGATATTTATTTCTGGTGTGGTGATAATGGGTCCTATTACATCTGTCCAGGGAGAGTTTCAGAGCATGGTTTGCATTTAAGAACAGGGTTTTGTAAATGTAGTTGACACAAGAGAATGTGTGGAGGGAGTTAATATTTAGCAAGTTTAGGGATTTAAACAAGGGAGCTGAGTGTTGTCTGAAAGCAGAGTTAGTTATTATTCTGATAGCAGATTTTTGCTGTGTGATGATGGGCTTAAGGTGGTTTGCAGTGGTAGACCCCCATGCACAGATACCATAATTAAGATAGGGGTAGATTAGTGCATAATATATCATATTTATTCATGACTAACGTATTGCCAGCAAGCTTTGTGAAGCTTTTGTAGCTTGTGGTAGCTTGCGGTAATTAGACGGACCACAAGAATTTATTAGTTTAGCAGTCAAAATACATCCCTTGGCCTATAAGTGGGGGAGTGCATAATACAAGCTGTTGTATCGCACTCCACACAGTTATGTCGGGAATACAGTGCTACTCTACAGGTACTTACAAAGTACTGATAGAACTTGGTTAATCTGGGTTTGCCGTGGTTATTGAAGACGAGTATGGCCTTAATCATGGTGCCGAGGGACGCGGCCGAGGCTCACTGCAGGTTGCCAGATCCAAGTGGCGGAAAGTAGCGAGCCTATGGTCTAGAAGTAGCGAACTTGTAATAAAAGTAGCCCAATTTTCTTTTGAGTGAATGATACGGTGTTCAAAGTATTATATTTTGATATATAGAGTACACTACACGATGTTGTTTTATTAATATTATTTCTGTACACATATATAACTGAAAACTCACACCCCAGAAGTGACTCGAACCCATATTACCAGGAGCACTTTGCAACTGGTGTACAGGGCACCTAATCCACTCGACCTTCACGACCGGACAAAAGCTGATGGTAGCCGAGGCTATTTTCCATCAGCCCACCGGCACTGTTGGGTTTGGTTACTGAATCAGAATCGAGTCAGAATCCACCAATCACTGACTGTTGTACAACAAGTGGGAGCGGCAGTAAAAAAGCAAACCAAACCCTGGGAATAAACATGCGTACCTTTACCTTCAAAGGAAAAGAAAGTAGACCTTCAATTGTATAAGTTTCCGGTGCGCCCCCACATGAATTATTGTATCCAGGCATGGAGACCTCATCTTCAGAAAGACATAGCTGCTCTGGAGCCATGTCTTACCACAGCTATGGAGCTATGTCTTACGACAAAAATCAGGAACGGTTGAGGGCCACAGGGCTAACACCACAAACCAGGCATGACAGGGCAAACTTCATAGAAACCTTTAAAATACAAAACAATTTGGAGGATACCGATCAGGACAATGTCTTCAAAAGTTCAAATGTTATATGAACAAGGAGCAACGGGTTCAAACTCAACAAACCAGAATGTTGGACAGGAAACAGGAGATGCTTTTTTACCCATAGGGTTGTAAACCCGTGGAACCGCCTACCCACCGATTCCATAAACGCCGAAACTCTTCTGGGTTTTAAAATACAGCTGGAAAAGATCATCAGGGCAAATGTTGGGTTTGATATATTTAGAATGTCCCTGGACATTCAGCTTATGGTCAATGAGAACGCCAAGGAATTTGCCATCTATTTTGCTACAAATTTGGGTATTATTTATCCTGAGATTTATTTGAATTGAGGATTTATTGCCAAACAAAATATAGAAAGTTTTGTCAACGTTGAGGGTGAGTTTGTTGGCAGTTAGCCAAAGATGGACTTTATTTAGCTCAGTATTCACTGTGACATTGAGCAAGAGAGCAAGGGGATCAGGACTGGAGTAAATGAAGGTTGTGTCGTCAGCAAATTGAATTGGTTTGAGGTGTTGGGAGGCATTTGGAAGGTCATTAATGTAGATGAGAAAGAGGAGAGGGCCAAGTATGCTGCCCTGAGGAACACCAATGTTGATGGGTAGGGTGGGAGAAATTAAATTATTCACAGAAATATACTGGAGCCTGTCAGTAAGGTAAGATTTGAGGTATTGCAGGGAGTGACCTCTGACTCCATAATGATGTAATTTAAGAAGGTTTTGGTGGTTGACAGTGTCAAAAGCCTTACGCAGGTCCACAAATAACCCAAAAGGGAACGCGTTTTTATCAAGAGCTACATGTATCAAGTTAATCATACTAATAAGTGCATCGTTAATGCTTTTTTTGGGTCTGAAGCCATATTGACACGAGCTAAGTATATTGTGTTTGGCTAGATAAGAGTAAAGCTGCTTGTAGATTAGTTTTTTCGAATACTTTTGACAAGCTTGGCAGGATTTTATATAGGTCTGTAGTTGTTAACATCAGTCAGATCACCACGTTTGTGGACAGGGGTTACTCTCGCTTTTTTTTTTTTAGAATATCTGGAAAGGTTTGGAGATCAAATGACTTGTTGAAGAGCAATGCAATAGCAGGGGCTAAAGATCTGGAGGCTTTTTTGTAAATTAAAGTTGGTATCTCCTCAAGGGCACTAGACTTGGTTTTAAGGGAAAGGATTATCTCATTAACATCAGTGGAATTTGCACGCATTAGGTACAGAGACTGTAGATAGTTACCTGTAAGATAGTCCTGAACATCAGTACTGGAAGATGGAATATCATTTGCAAGGGATGACCCAATGGAAGAGAAGAACCTATTGAACTCAATAGCTGTATCAGAGGTTGTAAGCTGACCATCGTTATTGGACAGGAGTATTGGTTTGTTATTTAAAATCTTCTTTGATTCCAATATTTGTGAAATTGTGCTCCATGTTTTTTTAATGTTGCCTTGTAACTTGTAACACTTATATGCTGCTCTCTATGTTATATGCTGTGCTTCCTATTTTAACCTGCTATGTTAAATGGGATTCTTGTATTGTGATTTGTATATTTGTACTCACTGAATTTGTGCGCCCCTTGAGGGACTTGAAGTAGAGGTGGGGGGGGGGGGGGGGGGTAGAAGTAGCCTAAGCTACTCTATCCCTTTGAGATGTATTTTTTTATTGTCTCAATAAACATACTTGAACTTGAAGTGGTCTTTAATGTTTTTTCGGCAGCTTTATTTCCTTAGTTTCCGAGCTGTTTTCTTTACCGTGTATGTTGTAATAAACTATTCCTATATTTACAGTTGTTTCTCCCTGTGAAGATTATTAAACAATGGTGATTATAAGGGCGCGGAAGTTCAGCCTGGCCAGGGCCGCCAGCAGCCCTTGGGCCCGCCCCGGCAGCACCCAGTCTTTAATTTGGCACCTTTGTGGCACCTTTGTGGCACCTTGGTATAAGCCTAACATGTATATATATACACTGGCTGCCTGTCCCCCTACACACTGATTTATTATTACCTATTATTTTATCATTTAATTTAAATATTAAATAAAATAATTAATTTAATTATTATAGTAAGTACTTAATAATTTAATAATAAGTAGTAAGTACATAAAAATGATTAAAAAGTACAGTTTAGTCATAGGAGATTCCTAGGTTGGAATTCACTACCAAATTTCATTATATCCAAGTATTTTTAGTGTGAAATGCTGTTATTATATGCATAAATTGTTGTTTTATTAATATTACGCTTAACCACTTGGGCCAGACGGTAGAGCGACGGTCTCGTTTCCTACAGGTCCGCGTTCAATCCCCGACCGCCCAAGAGGGGCACCATTCCTTTCCCCCGTTCCATCCCAAATCCGTATCCTGATCCCTTCCAAATGCTATATAGTCGTAATGGCTTGGCGCTTTCACTTGATAGTTCCCCCACCCCCTGAATAATATTACGAAAGCAGTATTTACGGGCTATTCATGCCCGTGCCACCTCTTGGGTGGCTTAATCTTCATCAATCGAGAGCAGTACGTCCTAACCAGACATTATATGATGATATCCTGAACAGTTGATAAATACAAATAATTGCGGAACTCCAGTTATCTAATACTTATCATAAATGGTATAAAACCTTATAATAAGCCAAGGGATATGTAGATCAGTGTCTAAAGGGAATTCGGAAGTAATAATGATACAGCTGATGCCATCTGTCGGCAGATAAGAACACTATCGACTGGCTGGTCAACAGTGGCTATAAGGTACAGCTTACGCCATCTGTTGACATCAAATTACACTTATAACAAATTACCCTACAAAATACAACTAGCGCCATCTCTTTTTTTTCCAACGCACTACAAATAGCCAAACAGCAACCCATAAGGCGGGTTGTTGTGCTCGGGTAGGAGGTTCCAAGCTCCGCCCACAAGTGGTATGGGGTGCATAATATATTCTTTGTTGACATTCACACAACAGCCAATCACAGGAAGGGATCAGCTAAAGGCTCCATCCACTTAATAAATCATCTTTATTCAGCACACCATCCTTGCTTATGACATTCTGCTTCAACTTTAATCTAACTAAAAAGTGAAATGTTAACTATTTAAAAATATTAATATAGTGATAATTAAATACTGTAGGATGTAACGAGTGTTACAGAAACATGGGCTGGCTACCTAGCTTGTGACGTCATCAGTAGGAGTTGCCTCACACAAATAATATCGGCGATACAATGCCTCCACCCTCTTATTGGTCTACATTATTCAGTTAAATGGAAGTCTGTCTTGTATAAAACAGGAATTGTTGTTCATTTGTACAACAACAAGGTTATTAAGCAAAAGGACGTATTTCTTATTTTACATTTTATTCATATAAGCATTGGCATTCCCTGCAACAGCCAATCACAGGAAGGTATTTGTTAGAAACTCTGGCCTCAACAAAGTTGATTTCTAATGAACTCTAACAATAAATTCGTTTAATAAACGAGTATCTAGGGTCAAGCTACAGATGAACATTATAGGATTACGGTGTTTTAGCTTGCAGCTTCGTTAGACAGAATCCCTGGTCTTAATTTTAAAAATAAAAAACTAGAAAGCGTATTTTATTGGTAACTTTTCGAGAAATAAATCCTAGTCTCATATTTGCGAACATTTATGCATCGATTTTTTGGCTTAAGTTCTTATCATACCCTTTTGCAATCTCAACACCATCTGGCTCCTATCTTGTAACTATCTTCGTTACTTAGCCTCAAAACCTTACATTTATTTTACATATCCTCAACAGTTGATAAAAAAAAGTAATTGCAGAATTCTAGTTACCTAATACCAGCATAATATAAAAACCTTATTATAAGCTACCAGACGTATAGATCAGTGTTTAAAGTAATAATAATACATTATTATTACTGTAATAATATTATTAAAATAATAATAATACAGCTGATGCCATCTGTCGGCAGATAAGAACACTATCGACTGGCTGGTCAACAGTGGCTATAAGGTACAGCTTACGCCATCTGTTGACATCAAATTACACTTATAACAAATTACCCTACAAAATACAACTAGCGCCATCTCTTTTTTTTCCAACGCACTACAAATAGCCAAACAGCAACCCATAAGGCGGGTTGTTGTGCTCGGGTAGGAGGTTCCAAGCTCCGCCCACAAGTGGTATGGGGTGCATAATATATTCTTTGTTGACATTCACACAACAGCCAATCACAGGAAGGGATCAGCTAAAGGCTCCATCCACTTAATAAATCATCTTTATTCAGCACACCATCCTTGCTTATGACATTCTGCTTCAACTTTAATCTAACTAAAAAGTGAAATGTTAACTATTTAAAAATATTAATATAGTGATAATTAAATA